TTTTGTGCGGTGTGCTTCCGAAAGCGTGCTCCTTCAAGATTTAAGTTCGGACCATTGGAACTAATTTGTGGTACCAATCTACTCAGCTGCCATGATGAAGTTCGCGATATTTGAGTATTATTAATATTGTACTTCTTTAAATGTCTGCCAGGGGCGTGCGGCATGTAAGTCTAACCTCCAGCTCATCCAGTAGTGCTCATTCAAACCTCACACAAATCTTCCAAACGTCTTTTCATTCGTCCTATAACCGTAAAATCACGGTTTCGGCTAGCCCTGCCTTTCCAAACTGAAATTCTGAAAACTTCTGAAAACTAAGATCCTGAAATCGAACGCAGCGTGGTCCCTCCTTGCAAATATGGGAGTTCTTACGTCAGAACCTGCTCCAGCTGTCATTCCCGTTGTTCTGTGAGGCTTTCGTACTACTCAACAGATCGGTAAAGCTTTCTGTCGTCGAACACCTACGGATAGGACTCGCAATTAAGCAACCGTTCTGGCAATTTCTGTGCGATTTCGCCCACATCACCAGCCATTGACCCCGGTCTGAGAGCAAGTCAAGAACGAAGCGCCTGAGCTTTTCATTTTCGCTGCAGGAACGGACGCTTTACAGTTACTCACTCTGATCTAATATAGTCACAGGTGTGTGTTTATTTAAAATTAATATTCTGTTTGTTTCCTTAAGATATATATATATATATATATATATATATATATATATATATATATATATGGCTGCTCTCAATGCACAGGAATAATAAGACCTTCGCTAAATATTATTGTCCCCTAACTTAAAGACAAAGTCTTTAAATATCCACAGGTATACTGTTAATTGGTGTGCCATTATCAAAAAGTATTCTTGAAAATTTTTAAATATAAGCATCGTTATGTCAGCTAAATAATTTGACAGGTAACTAAAAATTTATCTAATTCTCACATTGAACTAGCAGTTTTGTCTTTACGAATTTAAAACGCTTTTTCATGGGATTTATTTTTCATCCATTACTAATTACGAATGTTAGACAAATTGTTTAGTTGGCTACAATTTTGCCAATTGGATACAGAACTGACCAGAAATATTTTCCTCAATTTTTCATCGAATTTAAAAAAAAAAAAAGTTTTCATCGAATTTATTTATATGCACTTTTTGCAGATATTGACGTCAGGAATCAACGTTTACTTTAGAACCTTAAGCTTACTAATTTTACTTACTAACTTATCGAAAAAGTTAAACTGGCTCGACGAGGGTTAGCATCAAAGTTGCTTGCATTTACATAAGGCAGCTGATCTTTGTGGTTTCACCAATTTTCAAAATTTAGATGATTCAAATCACTTTAGATACAAAATTATCATAGCGTTCTTTCTATAAAATACATGTTTTCGATTTAACCAAAGTAAACTTCTTTAAGCGTCCGCCAAAGATGGTTTGACAATCGTGCATACATCACAAAGCTTGAAGATCTAACTTACTCTAATAATACGAATTTTGATTGAACGACTATTCGAATATAGAAGACCTATTACCATTCGTACATCTACATCATTCTGTTCCTCAGCAATATGTCTCAGCTGAAAAAAAATACAGTTATACAGAACAAGTGTTCGCTTAGAAGGGGTATACATCCGTTACCCTCGCCGAATGCCATTTCCGATAAGTAAGATGTGGGCGTCGGACGGCGTAACTTACACAGTATAACGATGGCCTTGGCCAAGATTGTCTTTTGTTAGCAGGCTTCGTTCCGCGTTAACTAAACAGAGTGACTATTTTTTACCTTCTGACAAGAACAAAGGTTTTGGAACCCCTTTCTGGAAATCAAAGCATTTTCCAGCAACCGGTAATGTTTACAAAAGGACGAGTTTCTGGGGTGCAGGGCTAGCGAAAGTCGCCAAGTTGTTCTAGATAAAAACGCTGTCGTAGACTAACAACACAATCTAATTATAATCGCATTGACTATGTGTATTAAGCAAGCATATCTTCAAACATAGCAAAGCATATGCAATTATGCGGACAGTGGGTATATGGATTATTTCCGTGAGGCTTTCAATAGGGCTACATGACGAGACGAAACAGCTCTACGACTGAGTGGGTGATAAAAGAGTACTGCCAATGTATGTACAGTTTGTTCATACGCTAGTGCCCATAATTTATTCGATCCTAAGTTATGCAGGACAAGCGAATAACCTATAATCTGTGTTATTATTCAAAGAGGTTTACATAACTTCGAACAGGCCAATGGTTTATACTATGGCGGAACGTAAATGTATAGCAGTTGGCATAGTTTTAAATTAAAATCGTGCCGTCAAAACACAGGAACGAATGTTATGTAGTGAAACGTTAAAGTCACAAGAAAGCAGTCTATTTGCAGAGAGGCCAGCGTATCTCTATTGAGATATTCTAATTCCATTAACCGATCTAGTTGAGCGACTTTTCACCAGCAAGAAAATCGGCAGACACATTTACGCGACTATGATATAAACACGAGAGGCAGTTGATACTATTCTGCAATTGCTGTTTCTGCTATTGGTGCCCATCGATATGCGATCTATGAGATCAGTTTCCCTTTGTCATTTTTCTTTGTGACTTCTTCACACGTAGCGCGTGGTGATAAATCACAGCAGTATGTTAAAATTCTGTGGAACTTATCTAAAAAGCTAGATCGAATTATGTATAACGGTGTATTGTAACACCTTACCCGATCTATGACATGCACTAGTTTAAGCAGATCGTTCCCTTCTACGAATCACACGAGTAATGTCCGGTTGATGTAAAGAAACAATCAAAATCGAAGAGAGATCGATGACCACGACGACATTGAGGTCCTGGGTAAAAGGGAACGGCCGAATGACGCTTTGCTCCAACCAGCCATTTTCCTCGAAAGTATTGCAGTACTAATTAATTGAAACTAGAGAACGACTAATAGGAGAAGATCTATCTCCGAGTTTGCATATGTAAATATTTTAGTCTTTGTTCAGTATTGTAGTTTGTCTGGCCAATTGCTGCGTGTGATTTTCAGATAAGTCAAATTGAACGTATAGGCTTTAAGAAATTAGATATGCTTTAATATAGCTCTCTTCACATTATTAAATATGAGTACACCTTTTTTACGACACCAACTATTGGATCCTCGAAAAACTATTAGCCATTTTAAGTCACAATTGAAGCTTTTTTTTTTTCAAGTTTAAAATAACATACTTATCGATACCTTTCGGCTATTTTTCGGCTACTCTACAGTTTTGTCCCTCTAGAGCTTCTGAGGTTTCTGGGCGAGAACCTGGTTTAAGTAGCTTTTTCATCCCATTAGTAAAACAAAATTAACATCATTAAGGCAATCCTGCAGAGATCGAAACAGACAAGCTCGGGTCTAATAATTTACAGGTCAGCAAGGTCAAGACCACACCTGTAATGATAATTTGACCGCATTAGCTCTAGGCTATATGACGGTGCATTGAAATTTCACGTCCAAGTTGTCTTTATTGTTGCCGGGATTATTGCCGGATACTTTTTTTAGTGGCATGCTTGAGAACGAGGCCTTTTCTGTTCACTAGATCGATTTTTCCAAGAACATGTTTTAACTGTTGATAATGAAAAAATTTCCATAGAAGAAACAGCGACATATAATGCACGGTCACCCATCAGAAGTATAACATCACCTTCTTTGGCGTACGTCTGGACTTTGCCACTGTTTGTAAGGCACATTTTCTTTACTTGTACATTATCGTTATATACGATGTACCTTTTCATCATTCGTCATCAGTCGCTTTATAAATGACTTCGTTAACTGCGTTTTTGTGAAGTTTCGCAGATAGAAATACGAATTCTGCATTAATTCGTGTAGCATGAAAACACTGAGGTTTTTTACATTTAGCCTTAGATGATTTCAAACTTTTTATTGACATATGCTTAGATCCTTGGTAATAACACGACTACCCACTATTACGTTTTACTTCCTTGCTCCCTCCTAGCTTTTCTACCATAATTTTTATTATATCTTAATAGAATCATCGTCTCTTTTAGAATTCGTTTTTTAGCCTTTCAGTGTTATAACTTTACACTGAAAGAAATTGTCGAAACTCTTAGATCTGGTGCTGGTGCACTTTTGGCTATTTATTTTTCTTTTTATGATGTCCTTTATTATCTTTTGTCGTCTTTAAAATGCCCTCCCTAAATCGTGATCTCCATATCACATATTGTCAAAAGGCGAATTCATAATCCATTGAGACATTTCAAACCGTACTACGTACAGTAACGTCAAAAATGAATTAATTTTTTAATTCATAGAAACGAATTGTTTTGACATTAGATGATATTTTTTTTACATGCTATTTCAATTTAACTGCTTTGATTCAATCAAAAGAGAAATTTCAAAAATAGCATTTAAATAATGTTTAGGACATATGGATCATATAGTTTGAACAAAAAGGTAAGTACGTCATTAACAAGCGCCTTACCTACTTTTGCCGAGAAGAAAGACACACGCTGTTCTTTTGCAAATATACCTTTCTTTATTTCGCTCATTAGCTCTTTGTATATCTTTGTTTAATCTTCTGCTGTACGTTTTTCTTTGTATCCAGGTCCATTTTTTCAACTGACAACAAATGGATGTTACCGGCCTAACGGCATCAGCCGTCATGTCGAGTTTTCGATATTGTAATTGTATATTAGCGATAAGTGGCAAGTCCTGAGATAGTTAGTGAGAGTTGTGTCACCAATATGCCAGTATCAGGACCATTTTTACTGCAAATTCGTAGGTCCTTTTATCCTTCCCTATTTCGTGGTAACATCTCGCCATTACCTCCTCAATGAACGTACTTATTCAACCGTCTACAAGTATTTTTCCTTCCTATCAAATATTGTAGTGTCCCTAGGTAAATTTTCTACAATTTATAATGTTTTTATTTACTACTATATACAGTGTAGATGCTGACATCTTCGTACTTCGTTTCGCAGTACACGTCAAGACTTGCTGTGGCACACATTGGGTCGCGATAACGCATTTGCAGTCGCTGTCTGCAGATAAAGTCCGTTTGTCTTGTGAGTCACCGATGAGAATATAATGTCTATTTTACGCATTCTCGTTTTCGGAAAGAAGAACAAACAACTAAAAATAAGAAAAAAAAAACGTTGTCGAATGTTTTGTTGGGGTCTATCTGTATTTTTAGTTTCGTGTAATGCGTTTGGGTTACTTTTACTATTGTTTTTGAGGTGATTGTGAAAATTTCGCAATAACCTGTGGTCCATTTGGAAAGTAGCGACGATCTGGATTAAAGGGCGAAGGCAACCGCGCATATTGACTAAACACATAAATGATTGTTTTTCCAATATTCAGTTAAGTAAAAATCTAAATAAAGCTAGAAAAAAATTATTCAAAATCACCAGGTCAAATGGCTGAACCTATTTGTTCGCTATAGGACTATAGAGGTCCTAATAAATTGCTGATCAAGATAGATAAAATGTTCTTTAACAACTCGTTAACATCGCAGCTGGCGGTTACCGCGTTGTCAAAAATAAAGAATGTTATATTTCAGATTTCTTAATTTCCAATATTTTCTAATATGCGCTCGCAAAAATCCAACCGACCATTTTTTGCATATCGCACTATTTCTCTAAAGCTAAATTCGTACTATTAACTCCTTGTAATTATCAGCTTGTCGTGTTTTGTCCAAGTACCCATTGTGCCTGGCCCCTTCGCTTTTTTTCTTATTCTCCCTGTGTCTTCCGAAGACTCGGAGCCAACCTTATCTCAGTCATATGTATTTTGATACTTCTTTTTTTTGTACAGGTTTAATTACATTGTCTGTACTTCTGAGTGCTATCTGTAGCAGTTGCGGAATTAGCAACAATAACATAGAACGACTAAATCCAGTCTAGTGCTCATTAGCGGGCACATCAGCTAGTGTGTAGGCCTCGTAGGCCCGAAAACCCTGTAGGATTCCCAACGACAGAACAACACATTATAGATTTAGGCTCAGCTTAGGCTATTCACTGTCTATACTTCGCGTCCTAGTTGCCTCAATGCCGCTATCACCTACCGAGCTCTTGTTATAGTATATTTCACACAAATATATATATAATAAAATTCATGCTCATTAATTTACTCCTTACCTACAATACATAATTATAATATACCAAATAGTGCAATACAATCAGTTTTCGATCAGTTCTTTTACTTCCAGTTATGAGAGTGCTGAGGATAACGATGTACCATCGTTATCCTCAGCACTCTCATAACTTTTACCTTTTTTCTATATATATGCCAGGATTGCAGCCTGCGTTCGGCATCAGGTTGTATCCATTGTGCTTCACTTTTTTTTGATATCTTCGTAGATTTTATCCGCGCGTTTCGTTTTTGCTCCGTCCTTAGGTTTCGTCCGAAAGTTGTTTAGGCTGTTCCCTTTGTCTTCGTATAGCATATATCGGACACGTTTATATATGGATGTTTTCGAGGCCAGTATATCTCATATCGATGTTTCATAATTATTTTACTAAAAATTTCGTCTCAGGGTATTTCAACAACGCTTTTCGCTATTAACGTTTTGTCATGGGAAAGCATGTTGTTCTATACCGCGTAGTGTGAGAACTCGATCACATATCCGCGCATCTTGTAGTCGTTTGAAGCTTTTTTTTTTTTTGTTTTTTTCACTACACCTGCTAAGGGGCGGCATGGTTTGCGTGGCAAATGCACATCTCTTTGATTGCGTTGCCATGATAACAATAATTTTTGCCATGCTGGTTCAGTGCTTACCGTTGGCGAAGCTATTGCCAGATAATTATAGTCAAGAACATAAGAAAGGATGCGAAAATAAGGAATAAAGCAAAAGAAGGTATTTAGGCTTGTATGTCTGCCGTCTCATTTCATAGGCGTGTTCGAGAATAAGTTCTGCAATATCTGCTTCGGTTGGACTTCTAATAGAGGAATGTCCTTGATATTGTACTTAATAAATGTTTCCAAGGACCTGTTCGACTAGGGTAGAAATATTAAATAAATAAATATTATTTCTGTTGTGCGGAGTCCAACTCGTTTACGTTCCGGTTTATTCTCGCCACCTTTAGCTGTAGTGGGCTGTTTTTAAAAGCACTTTTATCAGGTGAATCGGTCTTGTGTGGCTCCATTTCAAAATACCTCTGACTACGAGGTCAGTAACCAGTGTGAGAAAAAATCATACTTTAAACGCGGCATCATCGTCACCAGTTCTCGCACCCTGCCCGCGCAGAATTATACACATTCACATATTCGCATAGATACGCCATCTACATTTTACACAACTCCCTCCAACCCCATTAAACGATATCACATTGCACGAACCCATAAGAAGGCGCACACAAACTAGCACACGGCTAGTCACTATCAGACGTGCTCTAGGCAACGCATAAAGGGATTTTTTTTCTATCTACTGGTTCCCTGTTCGTGCACGTGTACTCAGCTGCCACCTCCTGTTGTTTTTGCAATTTTTTTAACGGTGTCCCACACCCGTGTGATAGTGCCATCACTACATCCACCGGCACATCGCTACTGTTTATCACGATGCACATTTATTTAAAACGATGACCCTGACTCGACGCTCTATCCTGTTGGCGGTCTCTTGACGTAGAGGGATACGATTTTCTTAGAAAATTTGCGACTCATTCATATTCTAGCTATCTTCTTGGCCCCACCGTCCAGCGTGATCTAGGTCCCTCTTCCGCTGCTTATTGCACACGACCTACTGCAGTATAAGTGCTGTGAATTGTTTGCAATATTTATATAGACTTCGGAGCGCGACAGACTATGCATCACCCTCGGGTGCAAGCCCACTAGTGCGGGTTGAGTTTTTCCTAGGAAACATCCTTGATCATGTTACGCTTGGACGAGAGCCGTGGAGGTCCACCGCCGGGGTTGAGTGCCTGGCGTTGTGGACTTTTCGAATCACGGATTGTGTAGGTAACAGTCTTAGAGTTAGACCTGAGACATGGTACAAGAATCATGGAACGAAAATGTAGTAATATTAGAAAACGCATTAAAATTGTTATACCATTTATCGATCCGCAATGTGCCTGATGAGAACGTTTTTTGAGAGAGGGCCTTGTGTATGAGGCTTACTGTGTATATGACCTAGTCGCAACCGAGCTTTGACATTAAAAGTCAATCAAAAAACACTTTTTGGTTAGCAACGCGTTGGTGGAGCCACAGAAACAAACTGCAATTAAAAAAAAAACGGATTTTTTTTACAAGCCGAACACAACTCAGTGAATTACTCGAACTTTACTAGCCATAACTATTTGGCTATTCCCAACGGTGCGATCTTGATCATAGCGTTCACGGTAGGCATATGCTGCTAGAGCATTACCGGTCAAATAACCATCGGGATAGAATGCTCACAAATGGGATGTTCCATCCAATACGATAGAAACATATTAGAGTCATCATGGTGCATGTCTCCACATAACTATACATCACGTAAAGGTTCGCTAATTAGTTTGTAAGTACCCATGATTAACAAATTCACTACACCTGATCTATCTATATATACAATATTGGCTCCTAGGCAATCATTGAAAATCACCGGTAAATACGCCTTGCTATAACCGTTATAGTAGACCTACTCTAACTGGTACAAAGAATATGAGAATTGCTTGTAAATTAAACTGTTTTTACCTACTTTTTTTTTTTTTTTTGCTATCCGTCTTTTGTTGTTACCGTCTTTTAGTAAAGGACGCTAGCAGTGTTTACTTTATTTTATTGATGCAGTGCGGGTTACCATGAATTTGTATATTCAACGTTGGCACCGCTACAGTTTCTAATAGTATTAGTTGCCTATTGTTTTAACATGTGCCAGCCTACAAAAACATCGTCCATATTATCTATAACTGTATTCTCTCTATAATAATAATGTAGAGTTCTAGAAAACAGCTGCTTCCCACGTGATCGTATTTAACTCACCATTGATAATCCGTAGCGTTATGGGCATCGGCCCGAGCCGATCCCCTCAGGGACCAGTGACAACGAAGGACTGTGCGGAAAGCGCGGTTATATTCGCGGCTTGTTGTTGCATAAATGAACGGGTTGAGGCATGAGTTGAAATAGCCGGTCCAGAAGATTACATCGAAAAGAAGTGGTGGTGTCGTACACGAACTGCAAATGGTATCTGTGACAAGGAGTCAGGAAGGCTCTTTTATTTATCGGCGTAATTATAAAGTTAGTAGTTAATTTGTTCGTACAGCGAGTAAGCGAACCTAATAAAAACTATTACTATGTATTATACACGATCGAGACTGGATAATGCCGAAGGACAGTGCACAATGAATATAATTATCGCATGCTCGACAAATGAAATTACATATGCCACACACTATAAAAAGGCTAATTTGCATTTCCAAGCCTCGTCAGACATCTCATTCAGGAGCAGAATGAATCCATTAACGATTAACAGTACCCCCCTGATCTTTGAAGTTATTAAGAACCGCGTTACGTGAAATTGTCGACAGTATGGCAAATTCTATAAGACAGTGTTCGCAGTTCCCATGACAAGGTACCACTGGATTTGTCACGTAGAACATTATTTAAAAAACGAAGTCTTACTTATTGATCATTCGTTGGTACGTGTAACTAAATCCACTTTTACTTTCCCGTAACACGTAGACTTGAGCAAGAAGGATAACAAAGTACTATATTTAGAGGCCCTCTTGAGAAGAGGTACCTGCTCTGCTCGAAAGGCCACATACAACATCGTTTTCTAACAGCTAAAATTTCGTGTCCTATTCGTGCTGGCCCTTTCCTTGAAGCTCTGAGGATGTCTCTGTACATCCTTATCTAGTATGTTCAGATATTGACAATTGGAATGTATATACATACATACAAGATGATTGAATTTATATTGCTATATTGAACGTGTTAATGTGCTATTATAAACGAACTATTTACCTATGCAATTACTACAAAGGTTCGCCGAGCCCCATAAAATCTAATAATGTATATTTTCGGACAAACGTAGAAAATAGCAAACTGTAATTTAACAGCTCTGTAGTGCGATACGCTTGGTAATACCCTGTTTGAAAGCGATTTGCTAGACACACGCTTCAAGCTAATTAATGAGCAGAGGCGACGCGAATCTAGAAGGCAAAATTATGCTGGCAGATTACATATAAAAAAAGTAGTAAATGTAATGTAGGACTCCCTAAACACGGCATCAGTCTTCATATATCACCAATTGGTTCATATTAGTGAATAATAAATAGAGCAAATGGTCTTTCGTTTAAAATCTAGTTTCATCTGTAATAAACATTTAAATGTTGGGTATACTTAAAGGCTTTTTCAAAAGCCTCTAAGTATAGCCAACAGTTTTGATAACCTTCTAAACAAAAACAAGAAGTGTGTTTAAAGTATCTTGCTTATATAGATACGGGTACCAATTCGAATATAGAGGTACTATGGACACAATAATCACGCTAGTAAAACGTAACTGCTAAATAAACTAAAGGTCGATTTCTGAGCAAATAGCTCGAAAAGTTAAGCATGAAATGTGCTTACACCTAAATTTACGTGTTATGAACCTTACGTCGAATAGGCCGAATCCTTCAGCAATATAAGTTATATATTTTGGAAGTATTGGATTGTCCTATACGCTACGTTTCAGAGGATTGAAAATCCGATGAGAACTCATAGGATACGTTGGTGCCATAAACAAGGCTAGGTGAAGGAAGAAAAACAGTTTCTCGCTACAGATATATAATATTCCCTCCGAAACTTTTCGGCCTCGCGCTTAATTCACTCAAGCTGCACATGTTCGCAACGGGGCGATGACCTTACAAGTATATTTAGAATCGGCTTTCAGTATTTGTTCCTGAAAAAGGCTGTAAACTTGTGAACGTATTTCAAAGACACTTAGCTAATCGAGCGGGACGTCTGGTTTGTGAATATTTGCCGCTTACCAACTGATTAGCTGGTGTGTCCAAGGCTGAACACAATATATGTATATATATATACATATATATATCAACAAGATAAAGGAGAATAATCTTCGTCTTGCAGAGGTGTTGATAGGTGATTAAATATGATTAATGATCTTCGAAGACGTCTATTAAGGCAGATCATAATCAAAACGTCGTGGTACTTTTTAAACGGGGACTAAAGACTGATTTCATTTGAGGAAGATAATGTTGTACGTTTGATGAGATTACAACGGAGCACTCTGCTATAAGCTTCTTTCCCACAACCAATCCGATACGTCAGTTAAGACATACGAAGAGCTCGACAGCGCCAGCGATGCGTTTTAGAAAAGCGTTCCGCTCTATCAATAAAAATAATTGTATATCATCATAATAGTTAATGCCTGGCTTCACACATATTTAGTGGGTTGCTGAAAATTGTAGAATTCTAGTGAGAGATATTTTGCACCGTTCGGCTTTTGACACTTTCTAACTTTGCTTTTTCCAGTGATCACCTTTTCTGGTCCTTGTAAAACCCCCTAATGAAGGGTATTAACAAAGTATAGAAAACCGAAATGACCGAGTTATTGCAATGAAAATTTTTACAGTCAATTACTTTATAGCGTAACTTATACTGATCTCACTTTTAGTTCGAGGAAGTTTACGGTACATCAGGCACTTGTTGCTGCTTGCTGTTCTTGTTCATCTATACATATAAATTGCCGTTTTCCGCGTTCATTCTCATTTAAAAAAAAAAACAACTATTGGGATTCAGATGTTGCTGGGTTTCGCATTAGCGACCTGTTGTTGTCTGCTGTTCAACTTGGAACTAGTGTTTTAACCACTGAACATATTTTGTTTGTTCTACCTGTGACGATTTATTTTAAGTAGTAACCTCAAAATTATGTGAGGTACATACATGTATCGACAGAAAAAAAGTAACGAGAGACTTTCTTAGGCGGAGTAAAATAGGGGACCTATTTAAGGCCACTGTATGCAAGAGGCCACTACGTGAAAGTAGCCAACATGTAGCCAAATGGTTATCCTTCTAAGTTGCTTGCAACTTAAATTGCGAGTTGCACTACGTTCATTATATCCAATAGAGATCATTTCATAAAACACTATTTCAGTCTTTCTTTCTATATTTCTGTTTTTGGTACGCACATTCGAATATCGAATTCTTTTTCCTTTTCATTTGGTTCATAGCGGAGTAACTATCGATATTATAAGTATTTATGAAGTTTTTAAAAACTATAGAAAAAATTAGTCTAGTATTTGTTTCACCGGAAATCAGAAGCCTGCATTAACTGCAAAAGTGATAATCAAAGGTTGATGACGGTGTTTTCATCAATAGGTGTCTCTGTCTTGCGTTTTATATCCGGTGGCGCCGCAAGGCATCCAGCCCACATATCAAACTTCACCGGTATGTCTAGGAAAGCTGACATACGGGCTGTTCTAATAGTCATGAGTTTGGCTAAACAACCGATGTTTCGAGACCTTTACTCTTGTGGCGCGCCTTTGCCTTAACTCTGAAACATCTAGAAAATTCTTATGCACTTCAAGGGTAGTCAATGTAGGTTTATACACTGATCGGAAGTCACCTAGTATGTTTCGTACAAACCACATCCTGCATAGTTGAAAAAGAGTGTCCTGAACGAGAATCTGCGCTATGGTCGGTTTTCGAGACACAGCAACTTTCAGTGACATTAATATATATATATATATATATATATATATATATATGTATATATTTCTTTCGTTAATTCTTTATTCCAGTTCGAATCGCAAACAGGACTATTTTTTTTACCACGAAAGGAGCCGCGAGACACCATCGCACACATTTCTCTGGCCTCCTTTCAAGGCTTTTATAGGAGGGCCAAATTTCATTGGTTTCTAGAGTACGAACACCTGTTGGAATCTTCTGCCTCAATTTATCTGGCAACGCCTCAGATAGGCAGACGGAACATTTTGGAAAGATATGATGATAAAAGTTCTTTTAACTCTATCGAGAACTAGAAAATTATATGTATATAGTTATCATTTGTGCTAAAGGAAGAAATCAAGCTAAATCATTCGCTGGTGCGCAGTCATATTAATAATGAGCCACAATGGCAGCAGCGGAATCGTTGGCTTGTCACTAGACTTTAATACAAGTAAAAGGATGCGACCTACAAGCTGTGCTTCGTTTCAAATAGATACATCACAAAAACCAAGCTAAAAAGGGGGACTTGTACTTTACAATACAATCAATGATATCTTTACTTTAGCTAAAATTATGTACGTGTTTTAGAAAAATGTCCGCTTCAATTAATTACTGACGTCACTCTGGCATCCTAAGTAAAACCGCTGCGATCAGTATGTCCATTGTAATTACAGCCTTCTACGAATTATCTCAGAAACGGCACCAAGCTTCGTAAAATAGCGTACGTCTCAGCCATTCGTAGTTCCCACGAACTTCACGTTGAAATTTGTATATGGCACCCAGAGCTTCCACAGGAACGAACTTCGTTGTTATATCAAGCCAACCCATTTATTGCTTTACTCGTGTTCATCTTTGCTCAGCAACTTGGTGCCCGACTTCCAATGTTGACAACAGCCCTTTGAACGGCAAGTAATATAATATGCAGCCATGGTACGCACGAACTGATCAGGGCGATACTAACGGGAAAAATCTAGCCTTACCCGGCGTCCTCTGCGTTTCAAGCTTCACTGGTGTTAGACATCGCCGAAAAATTACAAATCTTTCTTTGAAACGACGAGGCAAGCACAGAAGCAATACCTCCCAGCCGCGACTGAAGTCGAAAAGCATCGCTTGAAAGAAGCAAATTTCTGGCCTTCTTGTTTGTTTTACAAAACCAAGGAATTTATTTGGGCTTAAAGTATGACGAAGGCGCAGCCCGGTGTTTCAGCAGAGGGGCGCCGACCCACTCGATCTCGTTTACTTTCTCCATCGATACGTCCGGTTGGTGAGTCGTAGTGATGGCAGAAGCAGTCGTTTTAAACCATCGCACTGGCAGAATATCACTATAAGATAGAACCAGAATGCATCGACTAACGGCGAGCTGGCGTGAAGATGTCTTTTTATTTCAACCTATGCGAACAGTATTCAGAAAAATTGAAAAGGAGTGATTACGCCTGGATAAAGCGGACTAATGCCGTTGTCGCCAGACAGAGTGAAGATAAGCATGAGGCAATGAAATACACAGCCAGTTTAAACGCC